GCAATTATAACTCAATTTGGAAATATGGTAATTGTTCAGAAGAAGAAGCGTTTTAAATACTATGATGGTGTAATGGTTTTTGGCCAAACATTACCATATTTGAATGGCTAATGTTTCTATCAACATGAAAATTAATGGCCAGAGTAAGAAAAATGAAACTCTCGGGGCGTTGCATTTGTAGCTTTGCAGCCCAATATAGAAGCAACATTGGACTTTATAGTATTAGACAATTAAAGGAAAACATTGTACAGATGGATTCTTTGGTATAATTAAGTCTCGTTTGCAAAGGAGGTCTGCTAGTTTTTGTTCAGGGCATGGGGACCATCTTGTGATGGTCCATGGTTTCTTGTGTTGGTATGTCGTTTCGTTTTCTACCAGCTGCCGAGGGAGTGATCATGGTTAACTAAGAAGATGTTGTTGTGTGAAAGTCTTTTCGATTAAAGGGATGTTGTGTCTATTATCACCTGTTTAGATATAAATTTTTAAAAATTGAATCTTTCTTTTGGTCTTAAAAGTGATAAATTATTTATATATATCTGTTAGTGACGATTCTAGACCAATAATTTTACTTTAAAACTTATAAATATATAATCCCATCTACTAGAAGAGAGACCTTCTCCCGTATGCAATGAAATCATAGCTTTTAAAAAAACCTCAAAGTCTTGTTTGATTGATAGTAGCTGCCTGTTTCGTGTAACCGTGTCTTGTCTGTTTAAAATTGTGCCTGGGTTGGTAACTACCAAAGCAGCCTTTCGCGTCTGAGCCAACCTTAAAGCTTGTGGGCTTGGTCACACAATTCCACTGCCTTCTTGGACTGGTCTATTTACTAAAATTATCTCAAGTTGCTTAACCCTTTCTATACCCAAATGCGGCATTTAATCACCCTTTTAACTTTTGAATTGCTTTCCTAATCAAATTAATAACCCACAGCTTTTAACTATGAACATTGAAATTAAGCGATTCAATCCCGCAAGATTCAGTATAGAGAAAACCTCTTCCCATTGAACTCTTTAAGAATTCAAAGGGTAAGTTGTCATAAGTTGATGAAGTATATTAGAATTTGTACTGTCGCATGTTATAAGTCTAAATGTTACGGTTTCACAAAAAAATCATGTATTTCATATTGATTATATATAAAAATGAGATAATATTTTATAAATTAATGTGAATTTTGGTAACAAAGATAGTTCAAGTGTATATTCATCTCTTGAGTGTGGTGAAAGAATTGCAAATTCATGATTCAATTCCCCCAGCACTTTCAGATCTAACTAAGAAACCAAGGCTAGATACATCCATGTGTGACCAAAAATGGACGATCGAGGATGGTGAAGTGTTAGGAAAAAGGGGCGCCTTTTTATTGCAAAAAGCCTGACCTTCTGGCTTCTGCCTCTTGGACATGGTGGAGACCATAATTATGGGGCCATCCGCCATCCCTTATGATCAGGTAGAACAATTAATTAAATCTTCATGTACTATAAGTATTATTCTATTAATTGTGTTGTTTTGCAATTAATGTCAAAATAAAAAGTGATTCTTTCTAATCATGTAGTGAAAGCAAGAATATTTAGCCAATCAAAAACACCACATAAAATAATTTCATTAAATCAACTGGTAAATTCAATCCATAACTTTAACAGATGCTACCACTCAATCACAATTTTTTATTCATCCAAAGTGGGCTCTAAATGCATTCCATTGAGCCACACTTATAGCCAAAGGCAAAGCTATACGAAGTCTCACTCAAATCCTAAAAAACCTCCATAACCCTAAGAGACCCGTTGATAAGGATAACTTTGGGATCTAATTTTTTTACTTCAATATTAAAACCATCTTTTGGATTTTGTTCATTTAAGGAAATTGATAACAAAAATCAATAAATACAGTTATTACGTAAAGGTAATTCTTAACGAGTATATATTTAAATATTTTAATTCTATTAATGATAATTTGTTAATAATTTTATCATTTATTTTCTTTAAATGGATAAAATCGTAAATATTGCATTCTACTTAGCTAAAAAAAAATCAATTAAATTCAAAAATGAAAAATTGATAAAAGTTGTCTCTTAAAATGAACATTTAGGCTAAATCTTGATTTAATTTTCAATAAATTGTACTTTAATGTACTAAATGGGTGAAGAAAACACTATTTGGGGAAGCTGAAAACACCAAAAGAATCTCTTTTGGAATTGTGGAATTACGAATGATATTACCGTGAGTATACCTAAGTCATTTCCACCCATAATTATTTGGATAAAATATCTTTACTTTTTTAAATTTTAATTGAAATTTCAAATAAGTTCATTAAAATAAAAAATAGATAATTTGTTTTAAAATTTATTTTTTGTTGAACCAATAAGTCCAACCATTAGAGTTTCATTGATATTTTCGTTAATTTATTGATGTAGTAATATTTTTTTGATAATTTTATTTTTTATTAATTTTAAAAATTATATAATATTTAATTATAATTTTTATTTTTTATTTATTTTTTTTCCCTCAAATGGTTGATTGGCAACACTCCCATCGCTAGCCAGCCAGATCTTTGGCCTAGGGAGCATTCGACGGTGCTCTTCAAGCTAAGGGAGCCGAGTGCTCCCCAGGCCAAGGGAGCACTAAGCCAGAGGAGTTGATCTGGTGCTCCTAAACCTAGGGAGCGAGGGAGCATCAGGGGAGCACCATCTAGTGCTCTGCTGGGAGTCTGATTGGATCTTCGATTGCAAAGTGATCGGTTGATATCTATCGATAACTTAAAAGAAAGAGAAAAAATAAAAAAAATATTTTAGATATTTTATATTTAAGTATTAATTTTATTTAAATGTTTGATATAAAATATTTATTTTAAAAAATTAATAAATTTGTATGTAATTATAATTAAAAATTAAAAAAATTTAATATTTTATTTTAGTTATTATTATTATATAATATATAAAAAAAAACACAAAAAAGGATAAGATTAGCTAGGTGGGCAAGTTCCAATGTTCCCGACCCTCGTCACGTGTCTGACACGTTTAGCCAGACGTCTCGTCCATGCTGCATTCGACTCTTGGGTGTCATGAACCAGAAAACCATCCCTCTCAGCCTCAAGTCTCTCCTGCCACCATTCTTTTGGTCAAAGGTTAGCAAACTCGAATGAATACTTTTAATTGGTTAGATAATTTTAAGGTTGGTGTGTTTAATTAAACAATTTCATTTTTAAGTCTTCTGTTTCTTGTTTATTTGCCATAAAATGGATTTATATTTGTCAATGGAGGTGTACTTCTACACTTAAAGTAATTGTCTAACTCATTTTTTTTTATGCCTTATTATCCTGTATGTCAATAATCAAGTGTGAGATGATAGAAACAAAAAGGAAGCGAGGTTGATCTTTTTAAAAAATATAATATTTTTTAAATATTTAAAATTTAAAATAAATTTTATTTTTTTATTATATGTAATTAAATTTTTATATATTTATTTTTGATCAATTAAATTTTTATCATTAATGGTTGACTAATTATTAATTTTTAAAATATCAATTATTATTTTTATGCTCAAGCAACATTTACATGACATTGATACAAAGGGTGAAAAATATTATATAATCATATGATCATATCACATCAATATACCATATTATCATTCAATATGACATGTTAGTATATCACATCAATATCATATAATATAAAATGACAACTTACGTTTTATCTAACACAACTAGTTAAAACATTAATTACAAAAACCTATATAATTCAAAAATAAAAATATAAAAACTTATTGGATAAAATAAAAGAATAAGATCTTATTTAAATTTTTTAACATAGTTTATAAAATTTTTTAAAGTAAATTATATTTAGTCTCGTATCAATTTAATCTAATACGATAATAAAGTTATAATTATTTAACTTTTTTGTTATTATTAAAGAAGTGACCAAAAAGGAGCTTTTAGTTAATTTTGGATCCTTTATTCCTAACTAAAAAATTTACTATACTAAAAATTAGAAGTAAGAATATTCTTTGTAGATATTATATATATATATATATATATTTGGGAATTTTGTAGGTATATATTATATTATAATATATTGTGGTCGGCTTAGGATTAAACTTGCCTTAATTAATGTATATTTGAGAGAGTGGCTCCCCAGAATGCATAGAAGTTTCATGCCTTTCTTGTCAAAAAAGCATCCTTCTTATCTTTAGCTTTACCATTAATGAAATTGCTCTCCCTCTCTCTCTCTCTCTCTCTCTGCTTTCTACTTTTCTCCTAGTCCTAGAAAACTCAAGTCCCCTTGAATCCCATTCTATTCAAAGCTTGGTTTTCAGACATTCAAACCCATAGATTTTGAGGTAATGAATATAAAATAATTGTAGCAGTATAAAATAACACACAGTCTTTCAATAAAAAATTTCATGGATTGAGTTTTATATGATATATTTACATTGTCATTCGAGTGGGTTTTGCTCTCTCTCATTTTCCCTTGATTAGTTTTCTTATACCCATATCCTTTTCTTCCTTGCAAAGATCTGGATCTGGGTAGGAAGGCAACCTGAATGAATCTATTTTAAGCTTTTGAGGCAATTTATAACTCCTATTAGCTTCCAATAAGTTTGATCTTGGTAGAGTTTAATTTCATCGTTGTTAGTTTGATCACTTGGTTTTTGGTTGAATTCCTGCAGAAACCTAAAGCCTGGGTTAGCAGCTAGCACGAAGGAGGAGAACATTTAATCAGCGCTGTCAAAAGCAAACACTACTACTAGTACTACTACTACTACTACTACTACATATAGTTCCATACCAGTTAGTTAATTGTGAAGGAAATTATTTCACCTTACGATGGAAGAAAACCTAGCCTTCTACACGTCGGAAGAAATTGTAGCTGCGTAATTTGGAAACTTTTTCATTTTTTTGCTTACCTTTCCCTTTTTTCCACTTCTCTGTAACATTTTTTCTCTTTAATTCCCACTTTAATAAGAGATCAGATCGAAGTTAGATATTAGAGCTGGCAGGTGGATTTGGCTATGTCTGGCTTGGAATCAGGTTCAGGTTCTCGCTATGTCCATCAACTACTCGGACCAGAACTGCAGCTCCAAAGATCATCCCAACCCTATCTCAACGTATCTCAACTCACGGATTCCAAACTGTCACCAGAGAAAGAAGAAAGCACTGATGCTGATGCTGATGCTGCCACCACCAGCTCAGGCGCGGGAACCACTCCAGGGCGCAGGCCTCGAGGACGTCCAGCAGGCTCAAAGAACAGGCCCAAGCCACCAATAATCATTACTCGCGATAGTCCAAATGCGCTGAGATCCCATGTACTTGAAATTACTTCTGGTTCGGACATAGTTGATTCAGTATCAAACTATGCAAGGCGCCGTGGGCGGGGTGTTTGTGTACTCAGTGGGACTGGGGCCGTTACAAATGTGACATTGCGGCAACCAGCTGCTCCAGCCGGAAGCGTCGTAACACTACATGGGCGGTTTGAAATTCTATCTCTAACTGGGACTTCGCTTCCGCCACCAGCGCCTCCTGGAGCTGGGGGCTTGACTATTTATCTAGCCGGTGGTCAGGGTCAAGTAGTCGGAGGGAGCGTGGCGGGTCCATTGATAGCTTCAGGTCCAGTTGTACTAATGGCTGCATCCTTTGCTAATGCTGTCTATGATAGGTTACCTGTTGAGGAGGAAGAGCCACCAGTGCAGGTGCAACCAGCAGCTTCACAGTCGTCTGGAGTGACTGGGAGTGGTGGAGGGCAGTTGGGTGATGGAGGCAGTGGCGGAAACAATGGTGGCGCTGGAAGTGGCGCTAGTGGAACCGGTGGTGGAGGTGTTCCTTTCTATAATTTGGGAGCCAACATGGGAAGTTATCCTTTTCCAGGTGATGTATTCGGCTGGAGTGGTAGTGCAACAAGGCCTTCCTTCTAGTCAATCATTATGTAGTACATCTTATAATTTCTAGAATCAAGAATATTCTGCAATGTTTATAAGCTTTGGATTAGTTTTCCATCATTGGGTTATTGATGTGATGAAGACAAGTCATGCGGGGTATCTCAATTTTGGCCCTCTTTTCAAGTTGAGGAAGAAGAAGAAGAAGAAACTAAGCGTGGTATCCATGGTGTTGCTATTCAAGAATGACGTCTGTAATTAGTTTAATTATGAACGGGAATTGTATTCCATCAGGAAAGATCATCAAGAAGCGAAATCGATGGGAAAAATTGCTGCAAAACGATGAATCTCGCTTGAAGCTTGAAGAAGAATGATTAATCAGTAAGTCTAGATTCGTGTAAAAAACATTCTGACAGCATTTCCTTTTGTCTTTCTTTGCCCTTTTCCAACTTTGGTTTATATATGAACAGTAGAAATTTTATGAAAGAAATTAATGCTAATGGATATATATTTCTAGGGTTCTCTTCAAAATCCAAATTAATTCCATCCAATTGAAGCTACATGAACCGAAAGTAATGTTAAAACTGCCTAGAAATTGGGGAAGAAACTATTACTTCTGCATATCAGAATTTCCATTCATCATTCTTTGCGTGCATGTCTGCATTTTTGTGTTGAATATTTAAAAGAGATTCCTTTGCTAATTTTACACTCAAATATTTTAATATCTTTCTCTTTCTTGTGTTTTTTTTTTCTTTGGGATGATCCACCGCCTTCTAAAAAGCACAGGCAGTAGCTTCTGTCCTTACAATTGGTAAACATGCATAGCTCCCTTCACCCCTCCTTTCTGATTTTGCTTTAAGTATAGCTAGGAAGGTTCTTTTGTCTGTTACTACAAGTGTAGTCTCTTGAATGAGAAGGGAAAGGAAAAGGTATTCCATATCCTTCTCAAAAACAAACTTGAATTAACATGTCTTTCACCGTCGGTTACATATATACAAGTAGATAGATGTATATATATATAAAGCCCCAGCTATGGCATGTGGGCAGGAAAAAAGAAGAAAAACCCTAATTCCCAAAAGTGGGGAAAATGCGCATTTTTGCTACTGTTTTGGGACTTTACAACATTGAAAATGGAGAAGTAGAAATGGGTGCATGGTAGTGTTCTTTGGAACTTTAGCCCCTTTTGTTTTCTTTTGATATAATAATATCTATTGGTTTTATAGATTGGCTTCAGTTCATAATTCGTATACTGTTAGCAATATTTAGCTGGTTGATTTATTCATTTCTTTTAGAATAAAGTAATACTCCAATAATTGTTGAACAAACAGAAGTGGCAAGATTTAACAACTAAATCAACGTACAAGGTTGTCCATTTTCTTTTCTTTTACTCTTTGTGAACGTATACAAGGACCTTGTCAACTAGATTTTTGACTAGGTATTCTGTTTTTATTTAAATATATATTGGATAGAAACATTAATAATGTTTTTTTAGTATATTTAATCATCATCATATGCTATGATATGGCATTTATACTGCTCTCGTTGTTGATTAGCTGCTCAACTTTTGTTGAGATCCATGATGGGTTTCTTGAGTTCATGAAATTTATGTTTTAAATAAACGAGAAAGAGACACACAAGTAGGTAGAGCCATATAGAAAAATGGAATAACAAATTTAATTCATTGTTACATTAGTGACTCAGCTTCATTTGACTATAGATTAAACAATTAACCTACATAGAGAAACTTGTAATTAAATATAGAATGTGAAAAATAAAAATTGATTGAAAATTCCAGGCTGCAAACTTAATTACTTGTTCTACATGGTAAGATCCTGGAAATTTGCAAAATGGTTGTATTTTTTTTTCTTTCAAATCAACAAAAATTCTGGAAAATAACATAAAAAAAATAATTGGCATATTGATTCCTGTTTTTATTTGAAAAGAATAATAGAGTATATTTTACATCCAAATATTTTGAGCCAATGATTAATACATGTCTTTTTTTTATTCAAAGAGTTAAATTCAAATGTTTTCGTCTCTTGATCAAGTAAGGTAAAAGAAAGAATAATTAAATGCTTGCATAACTCTTTAGAGGAAGAGGAAAAAGCAAGAAAAGAAGAATAATTGAACCCTACCCCTAAGCAAAGGTGGACCCATGTTGATCCAATTGGCGTACATGGTATCACTGAAATGCCAAAAATCTTTATTAACTGTACTACTTATTTTAGAATTTATATAATTAATGATGTTAATCAATTTATTAATTTTTTTTATTATTATCATTATTTTAATTATAGTACCAAAAACATTTTTAAATCGATCCTTGCCTAAGGTCATAGTCAAATGAGGAAGGAAAAGGGAAAAAAGCAAGAGAGAAGTTGCATTGAACCCTAACTTTTTTCTCGAAGTTAATCTGGATTAGGGTAATCTAAGTTGGAGAAAATGTGACATGCCATGATCATGGTCCTGATATGAACGATTTATATAATAATATTTTAAAAGATATTTTTTAAAATCTTTTTATAATTAATATTCGAAATTAATAAATCACGTATTTTACTTCTTTAATTTGATTAGTCGAGGGATACTATATTGAGGATTTTACAAGTGAGGAATGCCCATAGCAAGCTCAATTGCTTTATTTTGATAAATAATCATTGAATGAATTCACGAAAATTTCTTATTAATTTGCAAATTTTTTTGTTTTTGGGCTAGAAACAGGACACAGCACCAGTTAGAACACAATTCTTTTAGAAAATTTTGGAGGCGTACAGACCACTTAATTATAGGAGTTAGAAAATATAGGAGGCTAGGAGCTAGTGTTTTCTAAATGCCCTGAATGTAGACTTGAGGAATCCAACTGACTTGATCCTAACTAATTAACCAAATTTGTAAGAGTCATGATGGGTAACTAAGAACCCAACACGAACATGGAACATGGAACAAAATCTTCACAACACAAGCGCTTCCCTCCACCAAAAAACTCTCCTCGAAACCCGTATAACGGACCATCAGGAACACCCCTCTTACCTTGGACTTGGTCTCCCACCATCAATCATCTTTCTTCCACATTTCATTTCTCACCTCTTTCTCTCAAACCAAACTCCAATGTGCTTCCAATTTGGTCCAAAATTAGTGGAAAAAATAGGAAGAAATTATCAAAGGACACAATTGCCTCATCCTCCCTCTATCTTTTCATGTTGAACCATTTTGGTATAGGCACATTTCGCCCTTATACCCTTACCTTTTCCTGACATCTTCGAACAGAAAATTTTTCAGGCACCCAATTGAACTTGCCTTACTTTCAAGGCTAGAACAAGTGAAGTGTTTCCACCATTCTGGAAATGCATAGGTGCAGAGATCAGTTTTAATGCAAATGTCATAAACTCCGCAATCAATTAGGCCAAGGCTTGAAGAATTGATAGGGAAAGGAATTTTTTATTTAAACAACAATGGCATCCCTATCTTCCCAACCATCTAAGAAAGGACAGCGGAGCCCTGGTGGTTCTGGCAACTCTCAGGCTGGCTCACGTAATTCCAATGGACAGACTGTAAAATTTGCAAGACGAACTTCAAGTGGCCGGTATGTTAGCCTATCAAGAGAAGACATTGACATGTCAGGAGAACTATCGGGAGATTACATGAACTACACTGTGCACATTCCTCCCACGCCAGACAATCAGCCGATGGATAATTCTGTAGCTGCAAAGGCTGAGGAGCAGTACGTTTCGAATTCTCTGTTCACTGGGGGTTTCAATAGTGTAACACGAGCCCATCTCATGGACAGGGTGATTGACTCGGAGGTCAGTCATCCTCAGATGGCTGGAGCTAAGGGGGCCTCATGCTCAATGCCTGCTTGTGATGGCAAGATCATGAAGGATGAGAGAGGAAATGATGTAACGCCTTGCGAATGCAGGTATGCTCTGCAACAAAGTCACTTTATTTTTATCTGTTATAGACCAAAACCAAATAACCTAAGCAGGTGGAATTGGCTCGAACTCCTGCATGCTTATTCAACCAACGCCAGTTTGTAGTGACAATATTCTATCCTCTATCCTTGGCGGAAGTATTAAAATGAAGAATGAAGAAGATGAGAGAGGCAGTTGCTTTTCACTAAATTTCTAATTCTCCATGCATATTTCAGTGTGTTTAAGGATAGAATGAAAACATGGAATATATATCATGTTGATCATATATGAATAACTCTACTGTACCTTCCAGGTTCAAAATCTGCAGGGATTGCTACATGGATGCTCAAAAAGAAACAGGCCTATGTCCAGGTTGCAAGGAACCATACAGAGTCGGAGACTATGACGATGACGGGCCAGAATATTCCAATGGAACATTAAAATTGCCTGCACCGGATGGTAAAAGGGATCCCAATAATATGTCTATGATGAAAAGGAATCAAGGAGGAGACTTCGATCACAACAGGTGGTTGTTTGAGACAAGTGGTACTTATGGCTATGGTAATGCTTTCCGGCCTCAAGATGACATGTATGGAGATGATGAAGATGAGAGGCTTCATGGGGAGTTGATGGAGAACAATGATAAGCCTTGGAAACCCTTAAGTCGGAGGATTCCAATCCCTGCAGCCATCCTTAGCCCTTACAGGTACACTGTAAATTCAGTTTATATTCTCAGTTTTCTGGACGTGTTCTCCCTGGTCTGTCCTTGTTCAAGTTTATTTTCCATGGCGTTACGGCAATGCCTGGGTATCATGTCTGTCTTAGTTTCTTCTGGGCTGCTCTTTTGCTTGTTATTTGGCTGTGGTTGGGGAATCTAGGTGAGTTTCTTAAGGTTGATGCTTGGTGTGGGTTGGTTCTTATCATGTATATCCTGATCTTTTAACTTTTTGGTGGCTTATTGTACTTGTTTTCAAAAAGAAACTTATTAGAGAAGAAGAAATAAGAAAGCAACTCATCAGTAAGAAATAAATAAATAAATAAAAGAAAAATGTATTCAGAAAAGTCGTGGCATTTAAAAAGGAAATTGAGAAGGAGCAAAAAGGAGAGGGAAAGATTGTTAGATTAGTATATTAAAGATGAAATCAACACCGGCTAGTGTTGGTGTGGGCTGGTAGCGGTAGAATTAATCTCAATAGAGAACGAAAATGAATTCACGGAAATACAATTTGAGGTGGTATTAACCGCTTATTGATCATTTTTACATAGGTTGTTGATTGCAACTCGATTGGTGGTGCTGTGCTTCTTCTTACACTGGAGACTGGTGCATCCAAATGACGATGCAATATGGTTGTGGCTCATGTCAATTGTGTGTGAATTATGGTTTGCTTTCTCCTGGATCCTTGATCAGATTCCTAAACTCTGTCCAATCAACCGTTCCACGGATCTTGAGGTCCTCCGCGAAAAGTTTGACATGCCATCACCATCCAATCCGACAGGCCGCTCCGACCTCCCTGGAGTGGACCTGTTTGTATCCACTGCTGATCCGGAGAAGGAGCCACCGCTCGTCACTGCAAATACAATCCTTTCTATATTAGCAGCTGATTATCCTGTAGAAAAGGTTTCTTGTTACATCTCTGATGATGGAGGCGCCCTCCTCACCTTTGAGGCAATGGCAGAGGCTGCGAGTTTTGCTGATTTATGGGTTCCATTTTGTCGAAAACATGATATCGAGCCTAGGAATCCTGAAACCTACTTCAGCTTAAAAGTTGACCCAACTAAGAACAAGAGCAGGTCTGATTTTGTGAAGGATAGGAGAAGGATGAAGAGGGAGTATGATGAGTTCAAGGTGAGGATCAACGGGCTTCCTGACTCAATCAGAAGGAGATCGGAGGCATTCAATGCGAGGGAGGAAATGAAGATGCTGAAACACCTTAGGGAGACCGGGGCTGACCCTTTGGAGAAACCAAAGGTCCTAAAGGCCACATGGATGGCTGATGGCACCCACTGGCCTGGAACTTGGTCTGTTCCTTCCAGTGAACATTCCAAGGGGGACCATGCTGGAATTCTCCAGGTACGCATCTGCGCTATGCCAAAACATTTATATAAATACAAAATGCTTTTATTTCAGTCCTTCGTTTCAGTTTCCTGCCTAATTACTAATTAGATGAAGCATGAACGCTTACTGGCGATGGCCAAAATGAATAGGTGATGTTGAAGCCGCCTAGTCATGATCCACTTATGGGAAATAGTGAAGATAAACTCTTAGACTTCACTGATATAGACATACGGCTCCCAATGTTTGTTTATGTATCACGGGAGAAGCGTCCAGGCTATGATCATAACAAGAAAGCGGGTGCAATGAATGCTTTGGTGCGAGCATCTGCCATACTGTCCAACGGCCCATTCATTCTTAACCTTGATTGCGATCACTATATATACAACTGCAAAGCTATTCGCGAAGGAATGTGCTTTATGATGGATCGAGGTGGCGAAGACATCTGCTACATTCAGTTCCCTCAGAGATTTGAAGGCATTGATCCTTCTGATCGTTATGCTAATCACAACACCGTGTTTTTTGATGGTAACATGCGTGCCCTTGATGGTGTGCAGGTATTCTTCTCTTTCATTCAGGATAAACTATAAGCACTATTTCAAGGAATCTTAAACTGGGAAATTGCCTAAGAATGAAACATGACCTCTGCAGGGCCCTGTTTATGTGGGAACTGGCTGCATGTTCAGGCGGTTTGCATTATATGGGTTCGATCCTCCAAATCCTGAGAGAATGACTCAGGTGAAAGAGAGCGAAACACAACCATTAACGACCAGTGACTTTGATCCTGATCTTGATGTGAATCTATTGCCCAAGCGATTTGGAAATTCTACGTTACTGGCGGAGTCTATACCAATCGCTGAGTTCCAGGGCCGCCCGATTGCAGATCATCCTGCCATCAAATTTGGACGGCCTCCCGGTGCTCTCAGAATCCCACGAGAACCACTTGATGCCGCTACTGTTGCTGAAGCTGTCTCCGCCATTTCTTGCTGGTATGTTTTTCTTTTAAACAACACTGACTATCCTCACAAAATGTATTAACATTGCACCATAAAACCTTAAAAAGAAAAGAAAAAAAAAACATTTGACAAACAGAGACCTACTAACATGAGAAAACAAGTATCCCCACACGTGAAATGATGAATCCATATTTTCCCAACAGGTACGAGGACAAGACTGAATGGGGTGACCGCGTAGGTTGGATTTACGGTTCAGTCACGGAAGATGTCGTGACAGGCTACCGCATGCACAATCGTGGCTGGCGCTCTATCTATTGTATCACCAAGCGCGACGCCTTTCGAGGGTCAGCTCCTATTAACCTCACTGATCGACTTCACCAGGTGCTGCGGTGGGCCACGGGATCAGTTGAAATTTTCTTCTCGAGAAACAACGCGTTCCTTGCTTCTAGGCGTCTCAAGATACTTCAGCGCCTGGCTTATCTTAATGTCGGCATCTATCCCTTTACGTCCATTTTCCTCATTGTCTATTGCTTCCTCCCTGCACTTTCACTTATATCCGGACAGTTCATTGTGAAAACACTAAACGTTACGTTTTTGGTCTACCTATTAATCATAACCATTTGCCTCATCATGCTAGCAATCCTAGAGGTGAAATGGTCCGGCATTGGATTGGAAGAGTGGTGGAGGAATGAACAGTTTTGGCTCATTTCTGGTACCAGTTCTCACTTAGCTGCATGCATACAAGGTCTTCTTAAAGTGATGGCAGGCATTGAGATCTCTTTCACGTTGACATCAAAGTCAGCAGGAGAAGACAATGACGACATCTATGCCGACTTGTACCTCGTGAAGTGGACTTCATTGATGATCCCACCGATTGTAATCGCCATGATAAACATCATCGCCCTTGCGATTGCATTCTCAAGAACGGTTTACAGTTCGGTACCACAATGGAGTAAGTTCATGGGAGGAGCTTTCTTTAGCTTCTGGGTGTTGGCGCATTTGTATCCTTTTGCCAAGGGTTTGATGGGCAGGAGAAGGAAGACACCCACAATTGTCTTCGTTTGGTCCGGGCTCATTGCAATCACACTTTCCTTGCTCTGGATTGCCATCAACCCGCCAACAGGCGCAGCCCAAGCTGACGGTCTGGGAGGCAGTACTTTCGAATTCCCTTGAGCAGAAAGGGCTAGTTTTGGTGATTTTTGCTTCTTGAATCAAAGACTATATCATATGGGAACTAACAATCTCTACTGATGCTAGTAAAATACTTGAGAAACTCAGCCAGATGATGAAGATTTCACTGCTAGGATTCCATAAATTTCGAATGATGTACATTAGAAAGGTAAAACAAACAAGGTTTTCTTTTCTTTTTGACAAAAACTACAGATGATGAAGCTAGAATAGAATTTCTGCTGGATGATTTGAGGAATAACCAGCCGATTTCCCAGCAAAGGGAAATGTTCATAGAACTGTTAAATTGTAATTATTATATTCTTTTAAACAGAAATAGTGAACATTTTCTTTAATAGAATATGCTGGGCTCGTAAGTTTAAGGAATCAAGGAAAGTCTTGTCTGAATACATAAATATCCGATGTCAAATGTTCAATGTTAAATCAAATGAACCTGTACAGAACATTTTAAAGATCATGAATGACGGCATTTCCCTTGCCATTGTTACTGTCCATATGGTCATGCAACAAACACAATCCAATCTCCAGTCATTTATACATAATTCAATACTTCACTTTCTTTTCCAGATTAAGTCAGCCAATTGAAGGTCATTAAGTTCTCAAACCCGATAAATCATCCTCTTCCTGCCCCTAAACAATGCAAAATACTGGAGATTGGCTTGTGCATTAGCTGTGAGCATAAACTAATCAAGAACTATGTGCATTGCAGAATTATGTCAGATTGATTTCTTTTTTTTTTCATGTTCTTGAAACAAACTAGAGAAATCTCTATCTATGAAAAGGTAAAAATTACAACCTATACATCAGGCAGCTCAAATGGGACACGCACAAACAACTGACCATGCAGGGTAACCACAGCAGAAGTCTGATGCGGATCAATTCTAGAAGGCAGGCTGACAACCTGGAGACAAGCACATATCAATAATGCATGCATTAAAAACTATTACAGAACTACGAATATGATTCCAGTGAGACATTTTAGTTGATTGTTGTGTACATCCTCAATAAAGCTGCAACTATTTCAATACTATGGGAAAAAGTACATAAATGAGAGGTATACCAGTACGAATTTCATTTTTATTTGACACTGTTTCATATTACCATTAGCACGAATTTCTGTGGCATTTCAAGGCATGAGTGACTTCCAGAGTCACCTAATCATGCTGCAATAACGTAACAGATCATGCATCCTACTGTACAATGAAATTTCATCAACTCAGACAAACCTTTTTAAATGGTGTGACACCCCAAGGATTATCCAGTTGCTTTGGTTGACCAGATATAACCAACCGTCCAGCTGGATCAGACTGAACATGCACCTGATTCATTTAAAACATAAGGCAATTCATCAACCATAATCAAATACAATATAAAGGCAGAAGTTTAAGGAAGAAAATGGATTCTGCAATTGATGCAAATCTTAGTAGGCTGCTCTTCTGGACTAAATTAAAAACTTTACCCAAAAAATAGATGTCAAGATTAATCTACTTAGCTAGTTGCAATCAATCTCACTAGGAAATTCACCAAAAAGATCCCCTAGCATTTATAATGGCTAGAGTAAGCAAAGTTAGCACATAAGAACACTATAAACATCCTAGATGGTAGCACGTAAAATGATATATTGGTCAGGCTACTGATCAAATTCAGTCTAACCCAAGCTTAAAATGAGTCCCTACAGATTCCCAACAAAGACCTAGATATATGTATTCTTCCATTGTTGGCTTACCTTGACTTACTTCCTGGTCATGGACCTAAGGAAGTAAGTCAATTGAGCACCCAAACAAATTTCCTAATGAAGTGTAGAAAAATAACTATTCCATCCGTAACACTTATCCATTCTGCTAGACTGAAGTCTCTCTTCTATGTAAGCTTTACCTCTCAAAAATCATGCAATTTTCAAAAGCAAAAATACAACTAGTAAAAATAAAATCAGAAAAGGAGAATCATCCAGAGACACTAACCTCCTCACGTAGAAGCCCAGGAACCAAAGCATATACCTCATAGCAATCAATCTGTGAGAGAAAGAGAAAGAGAGATTCATTGATAATAGCGATACAGCGCACTGTCATAAAGATAACATGAGAAAGACTTACAGTTTTATGCACATTAATCTTCACCCAATCAGCTGGGGGTCCAATATCGATAACCATTGAATCCAACCTGCCAAAAAAATGCCGAGTTATGGCACCTCCAGAAGTCAAGATACTGTTTCATATATCATACAAAATGGAAAAAGTTTAGGAATAAAAAACCAGCAATCGTAACTGTGGTTTCGTTCCCTTAAGTGGAGCAACTCGGACACTGTGCTCTAGACTGGATGGCTTTTTACGCTTTAATAAACCTGAGGCAATGAGCCAAGTCTCAGAATGACAATGATTTTGGAAATTGTAGTAGCTGAATATGCTAGGCCAGTGTATTAGTCATACCAAAATTTTTAAGTTGTCTGTCACTTTTGGCTGCAGGACTAGAGCTCTTGTCCTAGAAAATTTAAAAACATTGCAGAAAGACAGTGAGATCAGGGAAAATGTAAGGGGATAAGAGAAAAGACTAAACAAAATATTAAATGCATAACGCCTCGAAGTTCTCCACAAACCTTGATTATTGGATGACAGACCTCACCGTTATCAAGAACACGCTGAGAATGCCAGCTCCGCATGGCACGAGCAGCAGCATCCCTTTTTGCCCTGCCTGACCCAGGAGCTTGATTACTACCAGCCTACACATAAAATTCACAGAAATCATTCGATAATATATATGAGATCCTGATAAAGATTTATTGTAAGAAATTCATATATCAGTCAACCAATAACTTGACAAGAAGAGAGTTACCATGTTTATGCTTTGCGTGCAGATGATTTGATAAGTTCGTAAATGTCGTCAATGTGTTAAATACAATTTCAAACATATCACAATGAATATGATCACGGCTAAGGACACAGCATGTAACTCAACATTATCACAATATTGACTGCTACAAACATCGATTTTGTCATTTTGTGCGAAGCTGGACTTATCTATCATATCATTATTGGATGAGGCAGTCTAGCTGTCAAAACAACTAATATGCCAGTATAATTACATATTGTAATACCCTCTCTGAACAATATCTATGGAATTTTTCCAGGAATTGTGAACGCTCCTCCATCTTCCATTCACTTTTCCTTAAAAACCTCAATTCCCAATAAATAGCATATGTGTCACAGAGAAAATGATTAACTTTTTGTTTTAAAGCAGTGGGAGAGGATGAACAACTTTCCAGACCCAACTTTAAAGCATGCCTTTTAGGGAGGATATACCTCCATAATTGCCACTCTGATCTTTCTTACCAACTTAGGCACCAACAGTCACTTTCAATACAGCATTTTGATTACCAGATGCACATTCTCTTAATACAAAACGACTTTTGGATATGCAACAGTATAAATCTCGCTTGTTCATCCCAAAAAAGAGGTATTACATGAAAGAAAATGCGATAAACATAACTTATTTTGAAGCAAAATATGGCTACAACAAAAGCATTCATGTCGACAATGAAACAGAAATGCCATGCCAAGGTGATAAGCAAGCGTTAAAATTAATTAGAGTTTACCTGACTTTCAACCCCATTAGCCTCTATAAAGGAAGCATCAGGATGAGTGAGCTCGCCACCATGTATCTTATGCTTTTCATACTCAAGTAGTGCCTGAGTAAATTGATGGAACCACATGTCAAAATAACAAATAACGAAAATAAAAGTTAAAGGTGACATAGGAAGGACGGGGTTTGGGGCCTTAATTCACATCTTATGTTTGTGTTCTTTTAATCAACAGATATTAGCAATTAGAGCAAAACCTTCTCATAAAAGATACGGAAAGTCCACGATACAGTAGTGCAGGTCCTACACCAAATAAATAAATCAATAAATAAACTATATAATATGATTAATGCAAGAAAATTTGCTATCATTGTGGGAAAAGGACAAGAGGATGCCTCGTTAACAAATTTATCCATAACAACAAAAACACGAGCTAACAGATAAAAAAATTTTTAACACAAAAGATTTTCCCTTACATAAGAAAAAGTCCAAAAATCACCCACAATTGAACAAGCTTCTTTTTTTTTTTTGAAAGGTATTTTCATTAATCACCTCACCACATTGCCATTTTAAGTCTTAAGCTTGGATTGCCAAAGACTCTCATGGCATAGATGGTAAATGAGGAAACAGAGAACCTTAAAAATTGTCCAAAGAATCCGTCAACCATAACTATATTGAAGGCTTCACTAAAAAAGAACAAAACCTAGGAAACTCACAAATGCTGGGAAAACATGATGCTAGAGAACAAGTTAATTTTAGTAGAAGGAATATGTAGGCTTTCTGCACTTAATCTATGGAAATTGCTCACTAAGCTAGAAGATGGATATCAACAAGGAAGTAGAGGTTATCCTTACTTTGGAGGATTAAATGATTCACCCACTTGCCTCCACAATTTGCATGAGGTCACCTACAAAGTCCACAACATGGTAAAAAAGCAAGTGTACAACTCTGTCTTATTCTTAACCATAAGAACCAAACAAATGGTTTTCTAGAATACTAAAAATAAACACAAAAACTAAATTAACCGTATTTTTCCAGTTCAGTCATACCAATTGATATAACAATTTAATGTCAAGGACAACAATCAGTTTGTACATGCAGATATTGCATATACAGCCATCTCCTTGGCATTCAGAAAACCATATATTACCAAAAATATTAAAAGATAGATATGCTATGCAATTTTAGTTTTATACTTTCAATTAAATTAGTCATCTTTTGATGTAATGTACAAGCATGTTATGGAATTGGAGAAAATATTAGACAGAGACAGAGACTTTAGGTGGGATATAGAGGAATCCTAGAAGGAAATGAAAATTCAAGAATTCAAGACAAACCTGTTCATAGCCCCCCAATTTGACTACAGCTCTCCATAACCTTTAATAAGATGAAAAAGGGCAGAATAATTACCGTGAAGGTTTTTCTTTTCAAGAAGAAAACTGTTTCCACAAACATGAGAACTTAAAAAGGCTTACTTGAGCAAATTTAAATCCTCTTTGTAAAACTTAGGGTGCTTGAATTCAAGGTTCTTCTCCTTGTAAAAAGCTTCAACCTCCTTCACAAAAGCTGCTTGCTCCTCTTCCGTGTCTGACCCTGAGTTGTCAAAGCATAGGTTAGGGTTTTTTTCACCAAGCTCTGGTATTGCCACTTGCTTCTTAATCTCCCTTTCTGCAGTCAAATCCTTCACTTGCTCCCCATTGTCAACGCCATTGTCATCATCTTGGGTTTTTATGTCA